TGAGGTGCCCGAAGTCGAAACTGAGGTAGCTACAGCTCGCACCAGACCGCCATGCGACGGTACTAACGACGACACAGCATCTCGGCTTCAAGGTCCTCAACCAGGGCAAACAGGGCCCCAAGAAGGTCAAGATCCTGCCCCGGCCATGGCCTGCCGATAATCTGCCGCCTGCGTGCGCAAACCTCCTCTCCGTCGCCTCCAAGCCCGCCCTTCTCGCTGCTGCCGGCCCCAACATCCTCGTCATTGCGTCCACAGACTCCGTGCGCAGCGCCTTCCAGAACAAGACCATAGCCGATGACATCGCAAACGCCGATGACCCGCGTCTCGAAGAGCGCGACATTGACGTCGTAGCAGACTTCACGCCCGATATCACCATCTCCACTCCCAACCTCCGCCATGTCGCTTTCTCCGCCGATGGAGATTTCTTGGTTACATCTGATGAGGCCGACGGCGGCGTCGCTGCGTACAATGTTGCGAGTGTCGTTAGCCAAGGCAAAAAAGACGCGGACACGAAACTGGCGACCGACGCACCCGTTCGCGCTCTCCTCCCAAACCCCTCCCCCGAATTCGAACAATACTTCGCCATAGTCCTCGATAACGGCAAGCTCGAGATATGCGATGTGGAAAAGGGCGTCAAGAAGACGATCCGGGAGGCACATGTCAACTGCGCCGCTTGGAGCGCGCGTGGAAAGGCTGTAGTCTCTGGCTCTATTGACGGCACCTGCGCTATACACATGACCGCTGGAGACCTAAGAGGCATCGTTCCTCGGCCCCCGGACGTCGATGAAAACTACGAGGTGACCGGCGTGTCATGGCTGAAGACTGAAGAGTTCCTTGCTGTCTACTCTCTGAAGGACCAAGACCAGGATAACCCGGAGCAAAAGAAGTACAGCGTCATCAAATCAGCCAAGGGCTGGGGATCTTTCACGTACCATTCCTTTGTCTGGGATCCTCTTCCCGAGGCATTCGAAGCTCCACGCCGCCAACTACCTGCACGTATCTCGTCCACACGCCTACAAAACTGGAAGCCCGATCTCGACGACATGCTCATCATGACTTCCTCCCACGCAGACTCCATCGCGATACTTGCCTCCACAAGCAACAAGATCTCCCCGGATCAAGAAACCTGTAACGAGCTCATGATGGTCAACGTGGATGATACGAAGAAGGCTCAGGTGCCGCGAACCGCTTACGGAGACGAGGAAATGGATAGTGTCTTCATTGGTGAGGCGCTTGATCTTTCGAGCAAGGAGAAGATACTGCGTCCCATTCCCGCTCTGGAAGAGATCAATGAGGCGCCGTGGCCGCTTCCTGCATACATGGCTCTGACTCACGAAGGTCTTCTTGCGGCCTGGTGGGTGATGTGGAACAAATCTATCGAGGCTGGAGAACGCTACCCCGGTCTCATCTTCAAGAGCGAAGCCACACAGCATGCGCCTTCTTCTACTCCGAGGGCATCCACGCCTGCGTCCAAACTCCCGGTTGCTACATCTACCCCTTTCAGCAAGTCCATGGGCACACCCGGCACCCCAGGAACAGCTGGCATCCCCCACTTTGGCAACGCTGGAAACGGATTCGGTACACCAACTCCCGCTCTGATGAAACCCCAACCGCCCGGCTTTGGAACACCCGGATTCGGTACTGCTGCTACCAATTTGCCTGCTCCAACTTTCGGTAAACCTGCACAGCCTTCATTTGGTGCTCCATCTTCAATCGGTAAGCCTCCTCAGCCAGCTTTTGGTGCTCCCTCTGCAATCGGCACTCCCGCCAAACCTGCCTTTGGCGCTCCTTCTGCAGTAGGTGCCGGCTCCGGATTCGGCGCAGTAGGTGGAATGGGCGGCAAAGCATCGCCATGGGGAGCGACATCTCAAACTTCAGAGTCAAAATCCAACCCATTCTCGGCCGCTGCTGGTGGTTCGTCGGGATTCGCCCAATTCAAAACTGCTGGAGGGTCAAACTCCTTTTCGAGCTTTGGAAGCAACAACTCTGCACAAGCTGGCTCCGGGTTCGGAGCACTCGGGCAAGGGCAACAGAAATCTGGCTTTGGAGGTCTGAAGACAGAGCCAAGCTTTGGTTCTACTGTCACCGTTGGCTCTGGGACTGGATCTTCGCTACCCTCCTGGGCGAACACGCCCGCTCAGCAAAGCAGCTCGATCTTTGGACAGCCAGACAAGTCATCGTTCAACACGGCCTCGTTCGAGTCGAAGGACTCCGATGCGAGCGAGGCAGACAACCGAAAGAGGGACGAAGCTACACCTACACCACAAGCTCAGCCGTCCCAAGGCTTGTTCGGCCTTGCAGGTGGCTTCAAGCTCGGTACTACTTTTGCAAGTGACGGTACAGCTAAGGACGATCCAGCGAAGCCTGCGGCTCCTGCCAACGGTTCCTTCTTCGGCAGTGACTTCTCCAACATGCTAGGAAAGACAGGGATGAAGCCGCCCGCAACCCCAGCGAGCGAAAACCCCCCAAGTTGGGTCTCCACGACACCAGCATCCCCGCCAAAGCAGAAGTCGTTATTCCCCAGTGACACTCCTGCAAGGGAGAGCGCAACCCCCAAGGCTGCACCACCTGTGCAAGAGCCCGCTACTCCGGTGGACGACGCACCTTTGCCACCAGACTTCACCAAGGCTAAGCCGGCGAAAACTGAGGACGCACCTCTACCTCCAGATTTCATCAACACAAAGTTGCCGAATTCGACTAGCGACGATTTGCCTCCGCTCGCTGGTAGTCCTGGCGTCGAGGTGGAAGCACCTAGTTCGTCTGGAGATGTATCTCCCATTGACAACGAAGACGAGGAAGAACATGATCACGACCATGACGACGAGAGCGAAGAGGATGATGATGAGGAAGGTTTCTCTGATGAGGAGGACGATGAGGAGGTTGAAGAAGTCGACGACACATACCCGCCAAACAAGACAACAAAGCCGCAAGCCGCGAAGGCGGGTACCTGGAGCTTCCAGGACAGTGTCAACCAGTCGCGGCAGTTCTTCCCCCCTGCACCGACTCCTCCCACAGTGAAGTCCGGCGCCACATCACAGTCCGGAAGCAGCGCTTCACCAGCCCAGCCTTCTTTGTTCGCTCAGGCCTCGAAACCTGCCGCCAACCAACCATCGTTCTCAGGCTCATCGCTGTTCGGTCAGCAACCGAACAAAGGCCCCTTCTCTGGTAAACCCGATCAGTCATCGATGCCTGCGAAACCGAACTTCCCGCCTCCGACGAACCGCGCCCAAGACCTTCGCTCGCCTAGTCCAGCTCGTTCGAGCTCAGCTTCTCGTCTCCGACGAGAACCTTTGGTCGCACCGGGTGCTTCATTGAGCTCATCCATGCAGGGGTCCAAGCCGCCCACGCCACAGCCACAGGTCTCCGATCTTGAAGATGAGGAGGACGAGCGGATACGCACACAGCTTGCGCAGCCGATCGAGCCGAGCCGTAACCTGGAGGAGTTTGTCGCATACCAGAACTACACTGGTGGCAAATCACCTAGCAAGACGGGTCACGCCGCTCAGATCGAGTTGATTTACAAAGACATCAACGGTATGGTGGATGCACTTGGCTGGAACGCTCGATCTATCAAGTCGTTTACACAATACCACCTACAGCCCCAGACTGGTCACCAAATCGATCGACGTATGCTGGATGATGTCCAAGACCAGGGACCTCACGGCTCATGGTTCGAGAACTTCACTTTGTGCGAGATTCAAGCCTTGCGATCTCTTGAAGATCAGCTTGAACAAGAGCTGGATGCAGGGCGGGTACAGGATGTGCTCCTCAAGCTCACACAGCTCGCTCGTCTTCTTCACGACAAGGCCAAGCTCATGACTCGTCTTAATGACATACGCCGCCAAATCATCAATCGCAAGGACCCCGAAAAGACAGAAGCTCTCCGAAAGGCACCATTGCCAAAGGAGCTTGCCGATGGACAGAAGGCTCTGCGCAACGACTATGCTCAGCTTTTGACGTCGCTACGCAAGGCTGAAGATGCAGTCGCAGTCCTACGCTCGCGTCTGGTGTCCCACAACGCACAGAACGGCAGCACAAAGTCAGTGCCTTCCATGGAGGCTGTCAAGAAGACAGTCCTCAGGTTGGCCAATCTTGCTGAGCAGAAGAACAACGACATCCTCGTCCTAGAGGCCCAATTGCGCAAGATCGGCCTCGCAGACTCCAGTCGTCCTTCCTCATCTTCATCACGCAACGCTGGTACGCCCCGACGGTCACGCGGTACGGATCTCCGCCGCAGCATTGCCGATACGCCTTACGCCACCCCGCCTACCAACCGCAACAAGATGACCCTGACCGATCTAAGCCGTCGTGCTCTAACTCCCGAAGTTGAGAGTACGCCTACGCCCAGCAAGGGCTATGGCCTGTTTTACACACCCGAAGGCAGTCCGACATCGGGCAAGGAGATCGCGCGTTTGAGCGACCTGGTTGACGACAATATTGATAGCTTGCGACAGACCGCCAGGACAAGGAAGCAGGTCGCTAAGGGTCTTAAGAATGCCCTTCTCGACCGTGGGATCAAGGTCACAAAGGTCAATTGAGTAGTACATTCTGTCGATATCGGTGTTGGATTATGATTGTGTATGATTAAGCGTACTTGTTATTTGGGACGTTTGGATAGCGATTGCATGCATGGGGGATCGAAAAGGAAAATGTAATACATCTTGCATAGATAGAGCATGGGGAAGCGTGAATATTGATTGGCCTTGATTAGCTCACTGACTGACGGTGACTCCTTCCAACTCTCCCGCGGTCACTTTCACTCTTGCTCTCTCTTTCCTTGGCGGTCTGTAAACGCGTCGCGAACCCCACAGCGCGTCCAAAACCGGAACACAGCTTTGCTGCTGCAACTGCCGTGCTCTCAAACTGTCGAGATTGTGACAACACAAACTACTGCATCTTGCTAATACCGCTTGTACATTCGAACGTCCCTCCGTTCGAATGCAGCACCTATAGGTCACGCGACGTTCCCAGCAGCACCTGTTTAGGTAGTCCGCACGGAGATGGCTCCCGCACTTCCCACGCAAGACTACTACGTCACCTTGGGGGTGCGACCTTCTGCGCTGTACGGCGAGATCAAGACGTCATACCGCCGCCTCGCACTATTGCATCACCCGGACAAGAACATCGGATCTCAACATGCGACCGCGACGATTCAGCTTGTGCGGAGAGGCCACCGTGCTTTGAAGAGTGAGCCGTACTAACGTCGGGCACAGATCAACGCAGCATGGGAAGTACTCAAAGATGCGACTAAGAGGAGCGAATACGATCGCAGCCGTCAACAACGAACTGCTTCATCCTCAGGCAGTCAACCTTACGCTCCATCTCCAGCCACATCACAGCCAAACCCTCAGCCGCACCCGCAAAACGAGACACCAGCGCAAAGGGAAGCGCGTGCACAAGCAGAGAGCAACCGGATACGACAAGAGTGGCTCAACTATGAGAGATCTCAGAAAGAGCAGATTCGTCAATGTCGTAACACTGTCAAGTCTCTTGAAGCCGAACTCGAGTGCCTGAACAGGAATGTCTTTGAGAATCGAGCAAAGCTAGCAAACGACAATCAGTCGGAAGCGGGCACATTGGCCTTCTTGAGCAACAGACTGAGTGAACAAGAGAAGAGCGACATCACGTTAGCCACAATCAACGCGGAGAACGCCATTCGGATCAAGCAGATACGCCTAGACGAAGCAAGGGTACGGCTCGAACAGCTGAACGATGACCTCACGAAACGAAAAAATCAAGAACGCGAAAGGCTTGTGGCTGAGCTGGCTGAGAAGGCGAGGAAAGAACGGCTTGCGAAAGAAAAGGCTGAACAGGCCCGACAGTGGGAACAGACAAGACAAGCATGGGAGGCTGAACAACGTGCTGAAAAGGAGTCCCGAAAAGCACGAAAGAAAGCGAAGCGAGAAGCAGAACAAAAAGCAAGACAGGCAGCAGAACAAAAAGCAGGATGGGAGGCAGCAAAGAAAGCAGCAAGAGAAGCAGAGGAGTATGCGAGAGAGGAAGCAGAGTATTGGGCGACGCAGAAAGAAGAGCGTCGCATGAGAGAGGAAGCAGAGTATTGGGCGAGAAAAGAAGCAGAGGAGTATGCGAGACAAGAAGAAAAGTATCGTGCGAGAGAGGAAGCAGAACGTCGTACGAGAGAGCAAGTGGAGCTTCGTGCAAGACGGAAAGCAGAGCATCGTGCGAGGCAAGAAGCAGCTCACCGTGCAAGACAAGAGGAATCGAGGAAGCGCGCGGCAAAGGAACATGCAGCAAAGCAGTACGAGGCCACAGCAGCAGAACGATCACGAGTGAGGAGATCCAACTGTGACCATGATACGTTGTGGATTAGGGTTGAAGGCCAGCATACTTGCGCATTCTGTATTCGAATACTCGACGAGTTCTCAAGGCAATGTTTCGGTTGCGGTACCAAAGCATGTGTCACCTGTGCGCAAAAATTGAAAGGCGGAGGCGACACATGTGTACGAAGATGACGGGACTGCGCAGGGTTGAGAGGAGCTCTTCTTCTGGTGTGATGGTAGTGTTGATACCTTGGGGAGCTGTTATAACAAGCATGGCTGGAACTGAGAAGCAATCTGGGTGTGGGATGGAAAGTACTTGGGCGTGGATAAGGTTGGAGGTCAAGTTGCGATACCTAGGTTCGCTTACCAAATGCTGCTGCAAGCTCTCGGGTTGCTACCATGTCAGTTGTATATGAATCTCAGGACGCGGAAGGATTGGGTGGAATATCGGAAGGGCCTCGATCGTGTCTGGTTCCACTTTGTTACCCCACTTTCGGCCCTTCCCTACGTCAAGCTTGGTGTGGGGCAAACAGCTCATCGTATGCATGTAGCAAGATGCGACAGAACAACACCATAGCCCTACTTCTTCATTGCCTCATTGTCTGACTTCTTACTATTGTCCCACCTCCTCTATTTTAATCCCCACCACTCAAGCTACTAACCACAACATCCATACAAATTACATACCCAAAATGTCGGAAAACGCTACCGAGATTGTGTACATACCCATGAAACCCGGGCTCGATCTCTCATCGGGCGAAGCGAAAGAAACATGGGAGTCAACCCTCAGCACTATTGCCAAACAGCCCGGTGCCAAAGCATTGTACTGGGGCCGACAGATCGAGAACCCGGAAACCGTGCAAATGGCAGTAGGTGCGTATTTACTCGTGCTTTGCCCAACCAACTACTACGCAAGGATTGCCAGCACTATACGAACTTGCTGACCGAATGTAGAATGGGAATCCATCGAGGACCATAGAACATTCGAAAAGACCCCAGGCTACCAACCTTTCCTGGCGACCATCATGGAAAAACTTGCATCTGGCGACGACCCAACAATCTTCCACGTCAACTTTCCCGCTGCGCACACTAGAAGCGATAACCCATTCACCATGCCCGTAACGGAATGCGTAAACGCATTCTTCGCCCCCGACTACTCACAAGCGGAATACACCTTCCAGTTCTCCACTTTCCGCACCTTGGCAACCGAAATACCTAATGCTGAGACCAAAGGAGTGATAGGTGGATGGAGTGTTGAGCCACACCAACACGAGAGTTTGGGTGTGGGTGTTGATGGAAAGCTGTTTGCGGCGTTTTTCGGATGGCCGAGTGTAGAGGCGCATATGGAGTTCCGCAAGACTGAGGAATTTGGGAAACTTATTCCTTATCTGAGGAGCGGGCCAAAGGGGCTGAAGGTTTGGCATGTTGCGTTCCAACAGTACAAGTAGATAACCACGCTCCCTTTCCTGATACTTCAAATTCGATCCTGAAACAAGTGGCTAAAAGGATGTTGCGTATGTTGTAAGCCTTCGTGTGGTAAATTAAACTTTTCTGGGTATATCTACGACGTAGCGCTAAGTCTACGTCGATTGTTTTCATTTGCTCCCAAACGCCCGAATCCTTCAATTACTCCGATCCATGCATTTCTCATTCGCTCATGACATGCCCTTGGGCGGGAAGCTAGACTCCTTCTTGAAACCCTCCTTTGAGATTCTGGAAAACTTGAGAGTGGCCAGCTGAGCCCACTCGCCGTTCCACTCTTTCAGCTTCTTCAAGTTGAGCTCGTCCTCAAGGTCCGGTACCCAGAAGCCAGCGGCATACTCGTCTCGCTCGGTGTTCTGGTGGATCTCCAACAAATTTTGACGCGTGCTTGCTGGCCGTCCTGGACGACGAGCTGCCTTCAGTTGGGCCAGCTCTTCGTCATCGCGACCTAAGTAATCCTCAATCATGGCCTGGATCTCCGGTACGCTGAGTGGTGCGACATGCTCTGCGGTATATGATTGGAATGATTTGACTCTATTAACTATCACTAGTTAGCGATAATACGGTCAATCGACTGCAAACATAACGCATACCGTATGTTCGATTTTGATCTTTTCGTTGTCTGAAAACGCGATTGAGCTTTTCGTCTCTCTGCGCTGCGCTCTGTAACCGCTTGGTATCCCGGCTGCCCTCGTGCAGGTTGGGATTCTTTCCCTTCTTCTTCGTAATCTTCTTATGCACCTTGTCGAGACGATTGCTGACCATTTTGAAAGTTTGACGTTTTGTTTGATGTTGGTGTTCGCGGTTCGCGCAAGAAATTTTGGATATCCATCGGCGCTCGGCGATCGCGACCACGCTAGCCGTCGGACGCGGACTAGTGCATATGTTAGCGGGGCGCGTTCCTGTCATCTCGTGTACCCGCGATCAATGACTGCTCCACACTATCGATGTGAACGCGCTCCCTTTTCTTTTTCGCTTGATTCGTAGTGCATAAGGGCGTCTCTCCTCTCGTCATCAGACTGCAAAACCACCATGTTGCGGTAGCTGTTGCTTCTCTGCCCGTTGTATAGGACGGACGCGTGAGCGGCGAAGGGTACAAGATGGGCATCTCAGGTTGGTACACCCAATCATCCCGTCTACAATACTGACAGCCGAACAGGCCTCCTTCCGCTACTCAAGTCGGTTCAACAACCATGTACTCTCAAGAAATACGCCGGCAAGACGATAGGCGTCGACACCTATGGCTGGCTCCACCGTGCTACCGCGACCTGTGCGATTGACCTGGCGCTCGAGAAGCCGACGACCAAGTATGCGTTGATGCGTCTATGGATGACGAGCATTTGCTGACCTTAATCCCTAGATATGTCGACTTCGTCATGCACCGCGTCCGCATGCTCATCCACTTCGGCGTCACCCCCTACCTGGTATTCGACGGAGACAACCTACCGAGTAAAGCTGGCACGGAGAAAGATCGAAGGGAACGAAGAAAGGAGGGCAAGAGGCTCGGGCTGGAACTCCTCAAGGTCGGAAAGACAGCCCAGGCACAACAGGAATTGCAGAAGAGCGTGGACGTGACACCGGAAATGGCGCGGATGGTCATCGAAGAACTGAAGCAGCACAACATCGAGTACGTCGTCGCGCCTTACGAAGCTGATTCGCAGCTTGCATACCTGGAGCGGAAGGGCATAATCCATGGGGTCTTGTCCGAAGACTCCGATCTACTCGTCTTCGGCGTCAAGTGCCTGATAACAAAGCTGGACAAGTACGGAGAATGCATCGAGGTCAACCGGAATCACTTCACTGCCTGCAGGGAAGTCAGCTTCGTGGGATGGTCTGACGCCGACTTTCGAAGAATGTGCATCCTGAGCGGTTGCGATTATCTCTCAGGTATTGGTGGACTTGGCCTGAAGACTGCCCATCGAATGCTGCGGAAACACAAAACTGTCGACCGTCTCGTCAAAGCTGCGCAATACGACGGCAAGCTCAAGGTGCCCGCTGGTTTCTTGGAATTGTTTGATCAGGCTGAGAAAACCTTCCTTTACCAATGGGTCTACTGTCCGGTCGCCAAGCAGCTCGTCAATCTTACGCCACTGGATGAAGGGGTCGATCTCGCTGATATGCTTTACATCGGAGAGGAGGTACCTGCACACCTCGCCATGGGTGTTGCAAGTGGTGACCTATACCCACGCACAAAACTCCCGATGAGCATCACGAGCAACAGTAGGCCTGGCAGAAATTCGTTTGGTCCCTCTCGGAGAGCCTCGACAATCATTCAGACACCCGACGCGAAAGGCTCAAAGCCGATTGATTCGTTCTTCAAGCCTAAGCGTACGCCGTTGGCCGAATTGTCGCCAAATGTTTTCACACCATCACCCAGTCAGCAAGTATTGCTGGAACAACAGAGAGAGTCAAATGGATGGGCCGCAGTACCCGCTCCAATCTCCCGTTTGCGACCGAATCCTCCGACGCCTAGTACGGCGCCTCAACCACCACGACGCACCATGACTGATCCAACTGCGGGTAGACGTTCGGTTCCGCATCCTTCTAAGAGACAACGACTGTGCTCCGATTCTGTCTCCGATACACCCGCCGCTGGCGACGAAGGTGTTGTGCGGAGCCAATTTTTCGCACCTTCTATACCAGAACCAAGCCCAACCTTACACCGAGAGAAGAGTACGAGGAGGAAGACCGACCAGGACTTCGAGCTCTATTCGGATGACTCAATACAGGAGGTTATGGCCGAAGTGGCTGATTTAGAGCAAGCGGCGTCTGCCCCTAAGAAGAAGCTACGGGTCTTCAGTGATACACAGTCCAGCTTTAGGAGCGAATCACAGTCGACTGTCTTCTCCAGGGGCAGCACTGCACAGTCACAAGATACTATCGGCACTCTCACGCCGGCATCTTCCCCCGAGCCCGAAACGGCCTTTAGCGCTGCAATCGCATCCACAATGAGTGAGCTGCGATCAAAGTTCACATACAAGTCTCCTTCACCAGCACCGGGTATGCCAAGAGCTAGTAAGAGCCGTCTGAACCGTCGGCCCACTGAGGCATGGCAACCTACGCCGCCATCTCAAGCTTCTGCTCTTACAACCTTTTCGGCGCCCGATGAGGAACCCATCATCCCTGCAACACCGTCCAAGAAAGATGTAGACGTGAAACTTGCAGTCTCTGCTTGGGCGGCTGTAGAGGCGGCTATTGAGGCCGAGGTAGTCATAGCCGCGAGCTCACCACCCCCTATGACGCCTGCGAAGAGGAGGAGATCATCACTGAAGGGGAGCGAAGACCTCCTTGTTCCGGATAGCGAAGCCGAAAGCGAGTGCTCGCCCCGAAAACCGTTGTTTAACCTTAAGCGATTTGCATTTGCTGGTTAGTCTCGCTTTGCATTGCGAGTATTTAGCATATCATTACATGAGCGTACGACTTGCGATATTGTTGGCGTTTGTTGCCGCTAAGCGCGTTTTTGGTGTTTGCAAGGTTGTTACGATCACGATCATGGCAGGCGAAGGCACACGAAGTGTCATAACATGTATC